GATCAGCCTGCCTCTGCGCCACCATTGTACAGCTCCATTCCCCACCCTCTTTTTTCCTTTTTCTTAAAAGACAGGGTCTCACTACATAGACCAGCTGGCCTTGAACTCACAGAGATCAGGCAGTCTCTGCCTTTTTCTTTGAATGCTGGGATCAAAGACATGCACCTGCCCCACACTGCTCTTTTGGAGACGGTCTCTCACCGAATCCGAATTCAGTTAGGTTGGCTGGCCAGCAAGCTCCTGGCATCTACCTGTCTTCAAGCCTATAGTGTATGGAACTGTGCCCACTGCTTTTCATTTGGGTACTAGGATCTCAACTGAGGTCTACATGCTTGTATTTTATCTGCTAAGCCATCCTCCCCTATCTGAAGGTTTATTTTATTCTTTGCAAGATTAAGATGTATGGGGTTGGGGAAATGGCTTAGCGGTTCAGAGAACTGGCTGCTCTTCCAGAGGACCTGGTTTCAATTCTCAGCACCCACATGGCAGCTCACAGCTAACTGTAACTCTAGTTCCAAGGAATCTTTCAGTCTCGTGCAGACATACAGGGAGGCAAAACACCAATGCACATAAAATAAAAATAATTTAAAATTATATGTGTGACTTGTTCATCCCTTACAAGGCTCACGGAACACTGGAAGAAAAGGCAAAAAGAACAGAAGAGTCAGAGATATCGAAGAGTAGTGTCAAACACTAACTTTCAAGCATGACTTGGTTGTACTTAAAAAAAATGTGTGGGGGGATGGAGAGATGGCTCAGTGGTTAAGGGCATTGACTGCTCTTAACCTGAGTTCATTCAATTCCCAGCAACCACATGGTGGCTCACAACCATCTGTAATGGGGTCTGGTGCACTCTTATGGCCTGCAGACATACACGCAGAAAGAATATCGTATATATAATAAATAAATAAATATTTTAAAAAAATGTGTGTGCATGTATGTACTCACAAGCAGGTGTGTGGAGCTCAGAGATCAACTTGCTGAATTATCTCCTATCATGTGGGTTTTGAGGCTTAACTCAGGTCACCAGACTTTATGGCAATAGTGTCTTTCCCACTGAGTCACCCCACCCTACAGCCCTAGCTGAAACCTGGACAAGACAGGGCCCATCCTCCTCACCATGAAGATTTATGTCAGTAACAGCTGCTGGAGGAAGGAAGAACAATTTCTTCAGTGCCCTAGTCAGTGGGGAGGCTTCCAGGAGTCTGTAATCATGTTTAAACTCACAGGACATGCAAACAGAAGTACTAGTTCTAGGGAGATAAAGGCTAGTTCTAGGTTAGTTCAAGGCCAGTCTGATCTACAAAAAGTTCTAGGCTGGCTAGGATTACATCCTGAGAATGTAAATCCTGAGAATCCTCACCCCCCTAGACATACACACGCTAGTTGGGAAGAGAAGAAGCATATAAGTGGGAGTGGGTGCAAGAGACAGTAAGGGAAGGTGAATAAATAAAAATACTTTATACGCCCGCTTTAGCCGGGCGGTGGTGGCACACGCCTTTAATCTAGCACTCGGGAGGCAGAGGCTAGCGAATCTCTGTTACTACAAGGCCAGCCTGGGCTACAAGAGCTAGTTCCAGGACAGGCTCCAAAGCTACAGAGAAACCTTGATTTGGAAAAAAAAAAAGCTTTAATGAATTTTGTTATGGATCATTAATATATGCTAATTAAAACATCTAAAATTTGAAAATGTGAACTTTTTAGAAACCTTTATTACAGTTTATTTTGTGGGCATGGAGGTCACAGGAAAACTTGGAGGAGTTAGCTCTCTCTTCTTACCAAGTGAGTTCCAGGGCATGAACTCAGGTGGCTGGGATTAGCTGAATGTGCCTTCATCTGCAGAGCAGCCTCGCCAATCCCTAAAATGTGGATTAACATCCTCATCTGGCCAGACTTGGATTTAAGAACTACCATACGCCAGAGGTGGTGGCACCTTTAATCCCACACTCTTGAATATCAGGCCAGGTTTCTACAGAGAAATCTGCCTCAAAAACAAACAAACAAACAAAACCTAACTGATCAAAAGAACTACCACAGTGTCAGTACATCAGATAAAGGAGGAAAGAGGCAAAACACACAGCACCAGGGCTGCGGGTAGTGAAGTCCGGGCACCGCAGACAAACCCATAGCAAGGATGACCCTGCTTCTACTGACTAGTCACAGGCCACTTGACATTGGTAGTCTTGCTTTCCTAGTATTTTAGCTTGAAATGTAATTACTAGAACCTTGTCAGATTCAACCTATGTGCCCCAAGTTGTTCCTTTCCACAGAACTGTTTCCAGGGTCCCTGCAGTGTGATGACATATGACTACATGTAGGCGCTGGGATGGGAATACACCACAGCCTTCCACCATGCCTCCTATTGCTGACACACACATATACAGTAAAATCTGCTCGCCTCCATACCTACCTCCTGTACTGACGAGCAATATATGACGTTACTAGTTAAGAGAAGCTACTTCAGTGGGTGGTGGTGGCACACGCCTTTAATCCCAGCACTTGGGAGGCAGAGGCAGGTGGGTTTCTGTGAGTTTGAGGTCAGCCTGGTCTACAAGAGCTAGTTCCAGGACAGATTCCAAAGCTACAGAAAAACACTACCTCGAAAAACCGGAGGGGGGGAAAAAAAACAGAGTGGGAGGCTAAGTCAAAGGGCCTCAAGGACTACATAAAGAAATTATCAAAACAAAAAACCCCAAGAAGACAGGGGGTACAGTGTTTGCCTACTAGCACAACAATAATACAACAGAAACATTTCACTCTCCATTTGGGACATGTAGCCAATAGGATCATTCGGTTATCCTTTGCTACATACTGATTTTGAGGCTGGTCTGGGCTGTGGGAACATGTCTCAGAGACAAATCAAACCCAAAAAACAAAACAAAAAAATTCAAATCTCAGAGGCAGTTATCTGTGAGTTGAAGGTCAGACTATTCTTCATAGCCAGTTCCAGACCCTGTCTCAAACCAAACCAAAACCCACAACAACAAAAAGACCCAAACAAGTACATCTCAGCTACAACTGAAAAAGAATCATCTGAGGTTGGCCACTGTGGTACATGATCGTAGTCTCAACCTTGGAAGGCTGTTTAGGAGGGTCGTTTTTTCAAATGTGCATGTTTTGTCTGCACACACATCTGTACATCACATGCCTGCCTAGTGCCCGAGGAATCCACAAGAGAAAGGTCAGAGTCCCTAAACTGGAGTTATAGATGTTTGTGAACCCCTATGAGGATGGGGAGACGTGAATCAAGGCTCTCCGGAAGGGAAGAGCAGTCAGTACGCTTGAATATTGAGCTATCAAGCTCCTGGAATGTCCGCTTGTGCCCATGAACTCTAGACTAGCCTGGGCAACACAGACAGCTCTTCCTTAAAAATCCTTATAAACACTCGAAAAAGAATGCGAATATGTGAACGGTCTTAGCATCTTGGGAGTCACTGGCAATCAGGATGTCTTTGTAGCCCCATGAATAGGACTTATGCATGGCTACTGTGGTGGACTGGAGCTCGGGCAGGATTCAGGGACAGTCTAGGCCATATGGGAATCCTAGCATCAAAAAACCACCAAATAAACAACAACCTCAAACCAAAAGTTCATTTTTGTTCTGTTTTGCAGTGCTGAGAACAGAAACCAGACTAAGCTAAGCAAGTGCTCAAACACTGCAGGACAATTCCCAGGTACAACAGGCTCCACAACACAGGCTTCCTACTCATGGTCCTGGCGGTTACAAACAGAACAGTCATATGCTCCATCTCCAAGACCAGGAAGGCTTTCAATCAGCTTCAGCTACTGGGGAAGCAGTCCTCAAAACCACAGTGAGTGGGGTTTTCTTCATCTCATCCACTGCATCATCCATGGCCAACAGTTTGCCTGAGCATGGAGACGCGGGGGATATTGTCCTTGGACTTCATCTGGAAACCTCGGATTGCACCAGTGAATCGGCCTCGCTCAGCGCCAGTCTATCCTTTTTCTCCTTCTGCAACACCTGCTCTTCCCACAGCGCCTGGTCCACCTGGTCATCGGTGAGCACGACCGGCTTGAACTTCTCCTCGAACAGCCTCTCATTGGCCTCAGAGTGCAGCTGGTGGGGCCCGACGATGCGAAGGTGCGCAGGCAAGTGGAGAAACTCGTCGTCGTTGATGTCGCAATCACGCATGCGGTTCTCCAGGACCCACCAACGGCCCACGAAGCCCACGTCGAGAACCCGGCCGGGGAAGTCGATCCAGCGTGGCTGCAGGTAGCGGCAGCGGGCTTGGTAGAGGCTGGCCTGGGCATCGAAGGGCGCCTCGTACACCAGCGAGCAGAGTCCCAGGTTCACGTGGCGCAGTCGCCCGCGGCCTCTTAGCCATAGCAGGCGCTGCAAAAATGCTTCCGAGTGGCGGTTGCGCGTGGTCGGCGCCAGCAGCAGGAGAGACCCCGACGCGTCGAGCAAGGCCTCCTCGAAGGCCGTCTCACTGGGTGCCAGGGCACAGCAGGCCGCGGCGCCGCCCAGCAGCCCCACGTACACGGCCGCGCGGCCCGGTCGGGCACGGGCAGCTGCCGCCGCATCTCCGCACGCCTCGGCGTAATCTCGCAGCAGCGCGCGGGCCCAAGTGCCTGGGGGAAAGAAGCGCTGCAGTTGACAGTGATTCAGTCACTCGGGCCACCCATCTTGCCGTCCTCTGCCACTACTCACCCAGTCGCGCCCACATCCCGGGCTTTGCCGTCACCGTCGCGGAACCACTCTCCTCTCCTCCCGCTTCACTGCGCCCACTGGACCAGAATCTCCGCAGAGCGGCTGTCGCCATCATTTTCCTACAGTCCGTTGGCCGAGTGGAAACGCATAGCATCGGAATGAAAAGGGCTGGAAAGTGCCTCCTGCGCAAGCGTAAAATACCGGAAGTAGTTTCTCACTGGAAAACTCTAGGAGACGGACTAGCGCCGGATGTTGCCGTTGCGTGGAGAAGGGTGGGCTCTGACGGGTAGACTGGCCGCGCGCACGCGCACGGAGCACGGGCCACGCCAGCTTAGGTAGACTTAGGTAAGGAGGGCGGGGCGTGCCTGCAGGGACCTGGCGTGGAGCTGGTCTCACTCCGTGTTAGACTCCAGGCAGGACTCGAGGCGGAAGCAGTAGTTCTGAGAAGGGTTGTGGGACTGATGCAGTTCTGTCTACAGTGCGCGGTGCGGTGACGCCTCTAAAGAATCATGGCAGCGACTGACGAACTGGCCTTCCATGGTGAGTGGGGCCCGGAAGTGGCCTGAGCTCCTACTCCTGTCCTAGGCTAGAACCCCAGGCAGCTGGGACCCAGACCCCAGGATGAACCTCAGGTTCATCCCGGACTCAATACTTGCTCCCACTGTGGACTCAGAAGCACATCAGACCCTTCAAGTCTGCCCAGGAACTACACTGAACCCCATCTTAGTAACGGAACAGACTTCCTTCCCTATGAGTCAAAACGGAAGAAACTCAGTTCTTTAGGGGAGGGTAATGAGGCAACCCCAGCCCAGGTTGGTGAGAATGGAATTCTCAGACTTCAAACACGGGTGCCCATATTCTTTGTCCGCAGAGTTCGAGGAAGCCACAAATCTTCTGGCAGAGACCCCAAATGCAGCTACCACTAGCCAAAGTGATGCGCTGACCTCACGAGAGCACGTGGCTGTGGTTATAGAATCAGGTATTGGCTATAGAGCCGAAGAGATGGAGGAAGAGGGTGACAAGACATCGGTGAGTCTCTTAGGAACCCCATGCCCTACCTCTGTCTTTACCCTGGCTGAGCAGGCAGGACCTGAAAGTCTGTATCTTGTAGCTTCTACAGGAAGAAAAGCCACAGCCGAGATTCTGGACGTTTGACTACTATCAGAGCTTCTTTGATGTGGACACTTCCCAGGTGAAGCCTGAGATATTGGTGGCAAGAACTTGGGAGTTTCTTGGGTTTAGCCACTATATTTGGGGCACTGAATTTGAATGGAATGTGTGTATTGGGGCTGGAAGGCAAAAGTGGGGTACAGAGTAGATGGGGCTGGGTGTGTGTGTGTGTCTCTTAAAGTCAGTGTCTTGATATGTTTCCCAGTTAGGCCTTGAACAACTAGGCTTAGAGTGCTTCTCTTGTCTCAGGCTCCTGTGTAGCTAGGGCCACAGATGGCACCACGAGGCCTGGATGCAAGCCCCGTTAATGAGCTGAAGTTTGGGTCTTGGCCCGAGGAGATGGGGAGTCATGGAAGATTTTAGGAGACGAATGAGTAAAATGAGCAGATATGAATGTGGAACACAGGCCAGCCTCTGATAATAACCCAGGTCTCCTGAGAGGACACATTTTGGAGATGGAGGAGGGAGAACACCCAGAACTTAAGGACTGTCCTTACTGTGACTGGGAGGAGAGCAATAAGTTATTTACTGCAGTATGTTGAGAGAGGGGCCGAGGAGACTGCTCAGCAGTTTAAGACCACTGACTGCTCTTCCAGAGGACCTGAGTTCAATTTCCAGCACCCACTTGATGGTTCACAACTGTAACTCCAGTTCCAGGGGACCCCACACCCATGGCAAAACATCAGTGCACATAAAATGAAAATTAAAAAAAAAAAAGTAGAAAGGTGGCAGGCCTAAAAGCCCACCTTTAGAGTGTGGTGGCATCTAAAGTGTGGTGAGGCTAAGACCTCAAGCCATAGAGACACTCCATGAATAGCCTGGAGGGGACAGCTGAGCTTGCTCAGTTAGGATGTAGTGGCAAGACAGCAGAAGTCTCAGGGGCATTGCCTCTCAGAATGCTAGGATTCTCATTCTGGACCCTGGTTTTGCTCTCCAGGTCTTGGACCGGATCAAAGGCTCGCTGCTGCCCCACCCGGGCCACAACTTTGTGTGGCACCATCTTAGAAATCGGCCTGACTTATATGGTAAATGAGGCTGTATGTATGACTCAATGGAATATTCACTCAACAAAAGTGGTACTGTGCCAGGCCCTGAGCAGGACTGTCAGTCATGGAGAATAAAAATTTGTGTTTAGTTGAGGGAGACACCAAGACAGGAAGCAGAAGGTGGTAGGTAGAGTTCAGAGGATGAGTGGCATCACTGCCTGGTATAGGGAAGTCAGGAAGGCCTCTGAGTAGGGTAGGCAAATGAATTTTGTTGGCATTGGTGGAAAGAGGCTTAGAGAGGACCCGCAAAGTTTCTAGACCCCCACGGTGGAAACACAGCTGAGCTGCACAGTGGCATAGGTCACTGGAGTAGAAGGAGCAGCTGGGGGAGTCATGGGTAGGGGGTGAGTACACTGGTCCCATATCATGGTGAGAAGAGATCTTGGTGAAGTATTTTTAAGGTCTTCTCTGACACTGTTGAAATTAAGGGTAGAAGGCAGCAAGAGCAGGCAGGGCACAGACATCACAGCAGAGGCTGTGAGTGTAGAGTGGTTGGTTCTAGAGTATGCCACACAGCCACGAGGAGTGGGAAAGGCCAGGGTGGCTTTCTATTCAGTCCACCAAGAGCAAGTTGCCCTAGGTAGATAGGAAAAGCTGGGCAGGTAGGAGGAGCAGATCAAGGGGCTCAGGACACCCACGTGAAGTTCAAATGTAAGCGTGAAGTTTGGGGCCCTGGAGCAACTTGGGAGTGGGTACCTAAAGATGGCATTCATAAAGCTTCAAATCTAGACAAGATCCTGCCCCCAGTGCAAAAGCACCAAGCCTATTCTACCTATAAAGAACTTTGCCAGAAAGAGAAAAAAGTCAAGTGCTTGAGGCACGTTGAAAGGCATTTCCAGAAAGACAGGATGGGCCCTGAGGCAGGTCTTGTCCTCAGTGATCTGGAGAGTCAAATGGGGTCGGGTTTTACCACACTTGAAACAGGACATAGCCAGCTACCTTTCCTAGGACTGAAGGACCTGGGACTCCATGTCTCCTTTGCAGGACCCTTCTGGATCTGTGCTACCTTGGCTTTTGTCCTGGCAGTTACTGGCAATCTCACTTTGGTGCTTGCACAGAGGCGGGACCCCTCCATCCACTACAGCCCCCAGTTCCACAAGGGTAAGCAAGTGGTTGGGCTCAGCTCCTGGCTGCCAGGGGCCCAGGACATGCAATGACGGTCCACTTTGCATTCCTAGTGACTGTAGCAGGTGTCACCATCTACTGCTATGCGTGGTTAGTGCCACTGGCACTGTGGGGCTTCCTCCGGTGGCGCCAGGGCACAAGGGAGCACGAGCACATGGGGTTGTACACCTTCCTGGAGACTGTTTGTGTCTATGGCTACTCACTCTTTGTCTTCATCCCCACAGTGGTGAGTGTGGCTTGGCCCTGGGAACTGGTGGGAGCTGCATGGCACACCCTGTATGGTCAACAGCTATACTTGTCACACTAGGTCCTATGGCTTATCCCAGTGGAGTGGCTGCAGTGGCTCTTCGGAGCACTGGCTCTGGCTCTGTCAGCTGCTGGGCTGGTGTTCACACTGTGGCCTGTTGTCCGAGAGGATACAAGGCTGGTGGCTATAGCACTGCTGTCCATTGTAGTGCTGCTTCACGCTCTCTTGGCGCTAGGTTGTAAGGTAGGGGTTCAGGTGGTCCTCAGCAGGGCTGTGGAGTGGGGCTTGCTGCCACCCAACTACACATTCACCCTGATATCTCTCTGCAGCTGTACTTCTTCCAGCCACTGCCTCTGGAACATGTTGTACCAGGACCAAAAGCCACACCTCTATCTCCCAGTGTCCTGCTGCCCACCTCAGCCCGGTCCATGACAACCTTCTAGGAAGGCCAGGCCTGCAGGTGAGGGACCAGTTTCTGTTGTGGCTAAGGGTTCACCTTCTTGCCCCTGGGGTCACTCCTAGGAGTCTCTCTTTTCCAGGGCAAACCCAAGGGGCCACTACCTATCCTCCCTGTGAAGACTGGAGGATTCTTAGACCCTGGAGACCACCCTGCTACTTTGCAGGCTTTTCTTACAAAGCGAACACTTTTATTTTCTATGCAAAGGTGATCCAGAGAATTTATATAAAGGTGGGAAGGGGCAGCCGAGCAGGGAGTATTACTGATGGACAGAAGAGCCCGGTTTTCCAGCCTGCCTGTGGGCCCTCCATTTCCCACAGGTTAGGGATGGCACAGGGCAGATCCAGCCATTGCCAGGAGTACCTGCGGTAGAAATAGGCCCAGCCTGGGCTCTGGCCACTGAGGTGGGTGGAGACTCTAGCGCAAGGGAGCAGGGGAGAAACTGCCCTTCCTTACTTGTTTGCTTTTCTTCTTTTTCTGTCTGGAGGGAAAGGTCCCTTCTAGGCCCCTTTCCAGGGATGCTGTCTTGAGAGGAGGAAGTAGAGCATGAATGTGGAGTGCAACACACAGGCCCATGTTAGCTATCACGGAGAGTATGCCCTCCTTCCTTCTGTGACAGATCCTTGAGGTTTTTGCCTGCCCCGGTGGCCCTGGGTGACTTTCCCTTTGGGCTGCCTGTTCCCGCTTTTGGTGAAGGGGGACCTTCAGGGCTCAGGACAGGACAGTAGCAGGAAGCAGGGGCTAGAGGCCTTTGGACAGCTGGGTGTTTTTGTACATTCAAGTGTGAGGTGAACCCTTTGGTGAGAGGGGGTGATGCCCGCCCTGAAGGCTTGACAGGCCACCCCTCACCTAGAACCTCTGGACCTACGGACAGGGGCTGCTGGCTGGGCCCGGCCAGCCGGGTTTCTCAGAGGGTCTGTGGGTTGACACTGGTTCTTTTCGTAAAAAAATAAAATTAAAAAAAGCAGCATGTCACGTCCATGGTGACCATGTGGCCTGGTAGTTGAAGAAGAGGTCCAGCTGGCTGTGCTGCTACCCCAGGTGAGGGGCAGGTACAAGGATGGGTTGGGGGATGGGTTCTGCCAGGTCTTGTAGTGGCAGCTGCTGGCTTCCTCCTGCCTGGTCAGGCGCAGCTGTGGGTGTGGGATTGGGTGAAGGGAGCTTGCCTCTTCCAGTAGATGTCAAAGCCAGGTCAGGTTGGAGAGGGCAGAACAGGATGAGGGCTGCCCCAACAGGATCTCATGTAAAATATGGCAGCGACACGCGCTCATGGCCAAAGGGTGGGCTGGGGGTACTTGAGGGCAGCGGCAACATCGTGTACAAAAGTGTCCAAGTTCCCATAGCAAAGAGGGCTGTGACCGGGTGTTCACGCTTCTCCAGAACAAGGGGGACAGCCACCGGCTGCACTGGGTGTGGACTTCATTTGGTTTCCTGGTGCTGTCAGTGCGCAGTGGTGTTGCAGCTGGAGGCACCTAGCTCCCGTAGTGCATGGTGTTGGTTGGGATGGACATGGGTGAGGCCATGGAGATGGCGGGGCCACCCATGGTGAACTGGTTGTTGACTGCATAGTGGGCACTGGAGCCACCGCTGCCTCCTTGGGCACCTGAGGAGCCTGTGGGGCAGGTCATGGGCACTGAGGAGCCAGCATGACCCCTAAGCCTGCCTGGCCCCCACTGGTAGCTTGAGCGTGTGCGCAGGCCAGGCGGGAGGCCCCCCGCCCACGGCCCCGCTACCCTGTTACCTTGGACAATGCCCGTGCTCATTATGGAGCCCATCCGGGAGTGGGTGTGATTGACAATCCCTGTGTTGGCTGTGCAGCGACAGGGAGGAAAGAAGGAGGGAGGGAGACGTCACCGCCCCCAGCCTGCCTGGCCCACTCCACTCTTATGGTTGGTGTGGGAAGGGCAGATGGAGTGGTGACAGATCAAGATGGAGAGGCACACAGGGCTAGAGTACCCAGGAAGAGGAAGAGGTGACCATGACAGCGACAGTGGTGGCAGAAGACCAAGCACTGGCTATTGAACTGGCCACTGGCACATCCCAGTCCTCCCCTGCCATGCCATAGATCTTAGGGGACACTCACCTAAGGGAATCAGGTTGTTGTGACCGACACTAGAGCCGCCGGCAATAACACTGCTCAGGTCATAGGCAGTAGGCATTCCTGACCAGAAAGTGGAGTATTAGGGGCAGGGTAAGGCAAGCTCTGGGGACCTGGGGTCAAGGCTGCCACCACGGGCCTCCAGCTATGTCTGGAAATTGCATTCAGACTCACCGGCCACAGCCACCCCGCTGCTGAGATTGTAGGTGCTTCCTGTGTTCCACATATTCTCGGAGGGAGATGTGTAGTGTGAGCCAGGCGGGGGTGATGGGGTTGTGCCCGTATACCTATGGCAGAGATTCACTGTGGGCAGGGCTGTGGGGCTCCTGATCCCCTCCCCCAACTAGAACCCTGCTACCTGAAAAAGGGGTTCTTCAGGTCCAGCAGATTACTGGATTTGGAGCCTGTCTGGTCGACCTGGGCCACAATACTGATGTCATAGCTCTGTCTGGGGGGATAGAGAGGGTGGCTGTGAGGCAGCTGGGTTGGTGGGCCCCTGTGCCACTGCCTTATCCAGCCCTGGATGGGTGGCAGGGTGCACCTTTTGTTGGCAATAAGCAGACATGTCCCTGAGAGCGTGTCTCCAGCCTTGGCAAACAACGGTGACTGGAAGAGGCACCGGACCTGGTACCAGTGGGTCAGGGGCTCTGTTGGGGCTGTGGACAGCCACACAGTCATTCTGTCAAGAAGAGATGAGTGTACTTCACTAGGTTGGTACCACCACTTATGCCACTACCCCACATACCTTAATATTACCCCGGCAGCTTTCCCTGAATGGTCCCCTGAGGTCTCGGGGCTAAAATTGGCTCGATTCCAGGCAGGCACAGGCAAACATGTGGACAGTCAATCCATGGTCATGGGGCGCCTACTCACTCTGACACCCATGCACTGAGACACACACACATAAGGGATAGGCACTCAGGGTAGCTGCTGAGGAAATGACAACCACAACCCTCCCCTATAATTCTTCCTGGGTTTTGGATAGGAAGAGCCACCTGAGGAGTTATGACACAGCCAGGCCTGGAGGCCATAGCTGCAAGGAGCCCCAGCAGTGCCATACTTACATGGAGCCAATAAAAGCAACATCGAACCAGAATGCCAAGCCATGGACCAGTCCTGAATGCAGCATGTGGAATTTGAATGGGATTTCTATCCTGCAAGGCAAAGTGCATGGGCTTGCTGTAGAAGCCCAACCCGACTGTAAGGAGAGGAGGGGTAGCTGGGGGGACAGCAGCTGGCCGTGAATGCCCAGGGGGTGATGGGTACAGACTATGAGGAGCACAGGGGTAGAGGTATCCAAGAGATGATGGGTACCTGTGCAAATCGCCTTCTTTGGCTTCTAAGAAGTTCACTGTGTACTTGACAGATTTGGCCATCAGGATCCGGATGTCAAATGTGTCCTGCAAGATGACAGGTGTGACCCAGCTTGTGCTGCAAATGCCATGGAAGAAGGGGAAAGCCTCAATGCCTTCCCTTATTCTCCAGGCCTGGCCATGGCACTAACCTCTGCTACATATCTGGCTACATATTTTGCCCTTTTCAGATTCGCTAGGCACAATACTAGGGACAGCAATTAGACTACACCCCTCAAAATTGTATATTAATAACAGGGGATAGCAGGGATATTTCTGCAAGTTCAAAGCCAGCCTGGTCTATATAATGAGTTCCAAAGCTGGGTGGTGGTGGTGCACACCTTTAATCCCAGAATTTAGGAGGCAGAGGCAGGCGGATCTCTGTGATTTCGAGACCTGCTTGGTCTACAGAGTGAGCTCCAGGACAGCCAGGGTTGTTATACAGAGAAACCCTGTCTCAGGGCAGACTGAGTCCTGGGCCTCATGCACGTGAGACAAGCACTCTGCACTGAGCTAATCCTTAGCAAACTTAGGATGACAACAATACGACAGTGAGCAACACCCATATTCCCACCTACTCAGCAAGTGATGGCACCTATTCACTTGGGTCTAGCCAAGCAACATATGAAAATCTCCTTTAGAAAAGAACAGGAGCCTGGCCTGGTGATTCATGCCTTTAACCCCAGCATTCTGGAAGCAGACACGTGGGTTTCTGAGTTTGAGACAAGCTTTGTCTTTATAGTGAATTCCAAGCCCGACAGGGCCACATAGTGAGACCCTGTTTCAAAAATATAAAAAGGTTCACCCAGCTTGTTCAGCAGGTGAAGGCACTTGCCCTACCAGCCTGGCACTATATAGTCCTGGCTGCCTTGGAATTCACTTATAGACCAGGCTAATCTTAAATTGAGAGATCCTCCTGCCTTCTAAGATCTGGGATTAAAGGCCTGCACCACCATACCCTGCTGATATTTTCTTCTAAGCATACACAAAGCGTTAGCTGAGGACTGCACACTAGACTTGGACCAAGTTGGAATTGTCCAAGGTCTAAAAGTACCCAGTGCATGCTCTTTGATGACAGAGAAATATACCAATTGTGCTATATTTTGAGGAAAAGTTTAAAAAATGTGCACCTGTAAGCACACGTTTGAGTGTTAAGATTTTTCTTTTTTTCACCCCTTTTTATGGAGTTTTTTGAGACAGGTTTTCTCTGTTTAGTCCTGGTTGCTGTGAACTCACAGAGATCCATCTGCCTCTGTCTTCCGAGTACTGGGATTAAAGGCGTGTACCACTATTGCGCTGTTTAAGACTTTTTCTTGATCCGGGCATAGCTCTGGATTCCAGGCCAGCCAGTGTACATACTAAGAGCCTGTCTCAAATAAATAAAACAAAATTTAATCATTTTAAAATTTTTTTAGAGATTTACTCATTTAATGTCCTTTTGAAATTTTCTTTTTATTAGATATATTTATGTATATGACTATGTAAATGCACCTGGCATTGGATTGCCTAGAATTGGAGTTGATGTGAGCCACCATGTGGGTGCTGGGAACTGAACCTGGATCCTCTGCAAGAGTTACAAGTGCTTGCAGGGTGGTGGTACATGCCTTTAATCCCAGCACTCCGGAGGCAGAGGCAGTTGGATCTCTGTGAGTTCAAGTTCCAGGACAGGTTCCAAAGCAACACAGAGAAACCCTGTCTCCAAAATCTAAACCTAAAAGAAAGAGAGAAGAGCGAGAAGAAGAAGGGAAGGGGGGAGGGGAGGGGAGGAGAGGAGAGGAGAGGAGAGGAGAGAAGAGAAGAGAGTTACAAGTGCTCTTAGGTGCTAAGTCATCTCTCCAGTCCCCAATTTACTAAATTTTATTTTCTGTGTGTTTTCTCTGTATGTAAGTACATGATGTGTATGCAATGCCTGTGGAGGCCAAAAGAGAGATCTGATCCCCTGCAAGAGCCACTAGCGCTCTTTTTCCTCTTTTCTTTAAAAATAAAACAAAACTAATTTATGGGTCTGGAAAGATAGCTCAGAGGTTAAGAGCACTGGCTGCTCTCCGATAACGGGTTCAATTCCCAGCACCTTCAAGGCAATTAACAACCTCTGGAATTCTAGTCCCAGAGGACCCAACACCCTCTCCAGGCCTCTGTGGGCACTGCACACATGTAGCACAGGCATAAATGAAGGCAAAATACCTACCCGTGTTTAAAAAAAAATTTAGTTATTTTACATGTGTGGATGTTTATCTGGACCTAAGTTTGTACACCACAGATAGATGGTTGTGACCTGCCATGTGGGTCCTCTGCAAAAGCAGTAGGTGCTAGTAATTGCCATCTCTCCATCTCTATTACTTTTACCTTGTTTTTATGAAAGAACCCAAGCCAGCTTGGATCTTCTGATCCCCATGCCTCCGTCTACATGCAGGGGTTACAGGCGTGGACCACAATGCTTATTTAGATTCTTAATTACTGAACCATGGCTTTATGTATTATTCAGTCAAGTTTGCTACAGAGCCATCCTGCTGGTTGGTTGCACATGCTTTGCAGAGTGAGGGAGGGATGAGAGAAGCAGGGTTTCTAGATTCCAGAGCTTTGTTTGAGGCCTTGGTGAAGCCTTAACCCCATCTATCAGTCCAGCAGTGCCCTCTACACACTACTCACCACGACAGGTTGCCGAAAGTACTCATCCACAGCAGCGCCTCGGAGGGCTGACAGGTCCACTCCATGGAAGGATGGCTGGTACCTGTGGAAATTCCCAACCCCACCCTGAGGTCACAGGTAGCAAGAGAGGCAGGTGGAGTTACCTGCTTTCTTTCCTAGCTGGCCCTCATCTAGCCCACGTCCTTCAGATCCTTCTAAGAGGGAAGAGAAAAGATAGGAGAGGCAAGGGCCCACCTGAGGATTGGGTCCATCCCCAAGCAGGCAGGCCCCATGGCCTGGCTGGGACACCCAGGGCGCACTCACCAGAAGTTGGCTTTGGTGAACTGCTCCATGTAGAGCTGTTCATCGGTGAAGGGTGCGAGGTGGACGTCACCAATGGTGGGGAACATGTTTCCTGGGAGTGGGGGGAGGGGCAGGGAGGAGTGCTGTTGTCAGGGCAGCACATCCTGCAAGGCTGGGTAGAGCTTCCAGAGGACCATGAGATCCCCAATCATGGACTTTCTTTTCATCCATCCATCCTTCCCTCCCTCTCTCCCTCCCCTTTCCCCTCCTTCCCTCCCTCTATCCATGCTCCAGTGTGCAGCACCTTTTGTCCATGACCTCTAGAAATGTGTGAACTCGGGATGGAACTTGGTGACCCTCAATTTAACTCTCAGACATAAATCTTTTTTTTTTTTGCTTTAGTTGGGGGGTGGGAGAGGGATGAGGGGGGAAGATAAGCTCTCCTCTAGCCCAGCCAGGCCTTAAACTGCTGACTCAGCCTCCACTTAAGTGTTGGAATTACAGGTATACATCATCACCCTAACTTGTTTGTCTTTTTGAGATGGGGTCTCGCTGCCTCAGGCTCTCAGATGCCAGGATCTTAAGAGTATACCACCATATCCAGCCTAATTTTGATAGAAGGCCTTTTTTCTTTTTTGCTACCCAGAAAAAAACAGGATTTTTCTGGGTAGCCCTAGCTGCCCTGGAACTCGCTCTGTAGACCAGGCTGGTCTTAAATTCAGAGATCTGCCTGCCTCTGTCTTCCAAGTGCTGGGATTAAAGGCATACACCACCACCACCTGGCTCAGAGGCTTTTTTCTTTGGTGATTTTTACTTTCAACCATCATCTACAGATCAGTTCAAATTTTCCCTATGTAGCACCAAGGCATTTGGATCAGTTCGTCTACTACCAGCCCCCATGTTCGTCAGTACACTTGCTTTCAGCTCACTGACCCTCGTCTATCCCAAGAAGTGAGTGGGCGGTGGTGGTGCACACCTTTAATCCCAGCCCTTGGGAGGCAGAGGCAGGCAGATCTCTGTGAGTTCGAGGTCAGCCTGGTCTACAAGAGCTAGTTCCAGAACAGGCTCCAAAGCTACAGGAAAACCCTGCCTTGAAAATATATATATAAACAAACAAACAAATAAATAAATAAAGCAAAAAAAGGGAGTGGGCCTATCCCCAGGGCTAGCACAGAGCCTCTTGGTGTCCAGTGTGCCTGGACTGCTCCAGACAGAGTGAAAGAAAAACCTAGGCTCTCTGGGGATTAATCTGTACCGCTCAGCCAGGACTACCCAAATACCAGGCTTGGGCATGTGATTGAAACAGAAGAGGATCCTCCTCTGAGACTTATGAATAAGCAAAATAGGGTTAGGTTGGGAGCAGGGAGAAGCAGATATGCGGAGGCTGAACCTGCACAGAATGAACACATGGCCTGCAGATGTGGGCCTCCCTCACAATTCACACTAGGTTAGAATGCTCAACTATGGCCAATGGGATAGATGATAGAGGCAGGTGGGGCATCATATAAGGAACCCCTTTCTGGCTCCTACAGGCCAGAAGGCTGCCTTTAATCCTCAAAGGGGTTTCTGAGAGGATGAAAACCACCTCACAGGCAGTCTCCAGCCTGACTCCTGCATGGTCTCACACAAGGGCCAAGTCACTTCCACTTCACAGGCTTAGCCACCAATACGGCCAGAGGAGAGGAAAGCCCAGGGCAGCTTGGAGTCCCACACTAACACACATGGAGAAGTATGGCCACCTCTTCCCTACAGGAACTGAGCCAATGGTGGCTCTTAGGCAGAGGAGTCATGGAAGCCATACATTCACCAAAGCTGCCAACAGCACTTGCTTGGTTGTTCATCTCTACCTGAGGCTACTGCTAGATCCAGGTCCTTGAGCTCCACAAACACACACACACATGTGCCTTTAAAGAACTATTCAGACATACATCCCCAGAACTCATCAGAGAAATGGGCTGCACTACTATGTTCAGAGCAGAGTACAGATTCCAGACTGGCAGGTGTCAACATGCCACTTGGTGCAGGCACTCAATCAGCAGTATGGAAAGTTAGCCAGGTACATGGACAGAAATGGCGTATCAACATGCTCTTAATACATGTACATACATCTACACACAGGTAGGTGTACACCTACCCATATACCTTCACATATACCATACCTTCAGGGCACACCTACTTGCCCATTTACCCTTAAGATTTCACACTTTCATACACACATCTACCTCCCCCAGACTCTTGACATGCAAACATACATCCTTAAACACCTACAACCCACCACACATCCCATACCCTCAAATATGCAAACATATCTACACTACCCACAGACCCTCACTATCCATACACCTTCACATAAGAACACACGCCCATAAACCAATGCACACACCTTCATGTGAATACCACACACAGAGACATATGTGCATCCTCATCCACACACCTGTATATAGTTTCATACATCATTACACACATATAACACCTGCATCCTTAGGCGTGTACACATTCTCACCTGCCCATTTCTTAGCTCTTAGGGGAGTAGGCTGGCCACATTGCCTTGGGTAAGATTTCCAGCCCATCCCCAGACTCACATCTCTGTCCTATTAGGGGTGGCTCTGTGGCAAGCATACACAAGAGGCACCAAATACTTTCTGTGGTCCCTTCAGGGGCTTGTCAATGCCTGGTGGGGTGAGGTTTGGGGGCTGAGGATGCAGAAGCCATACCCAGCAGGTAGGGTTAGGGTAGGAGATAGGGGAAAAATCCCATCTCTGTATGTAGATCACTGAGAGACAACAGGACAAATAGCCACCTATAGGCTGCGGGTTTTCCCAGGGGGCCAACTATGGTTGAAAGACTCAGCAACAACCTCAGTGCTCCTGAGCATGAAAACTCACCACTGGGCTTCAGGTACTTTTTGGCATGGAGGTAGCTCTCGAGCATGCGTTCATTGAAGAGCATGTAGCCCATGGGCTCTGAGATGATAATGTCCACTTGCTCAGGCAATGAGACCTCCTCTACCTTGCCAGGGATGACCACAATGCGGTCCGTCAGGTTGTTACTCTTCACCAGGACCTGTAGGAGGTGAAAGAAGGCTCCCTGTGCTTGCTTGACATAGACCCTCCTCAACCCCTCAGCTCATGATGGTCTCTGCTCATAGCTGGCATGAGTCACCCCCTCTGCTTTCCCTATGGACATCCTAACCATGGGGAAAGGGCTCCTGTGGTCCAGCTGTCTCAGGCACCAATATCCTTGATGTCGGGGGAATGCTTACCCCCAAAGCTGTAGCCTAGTCTTGGCCAAGTTGTCTTTCACACATAGTGAGAGCCTGATAAAAGGGATGTGTATCAAAGGGCTCACAGGTTACAAAAAGCAAGAGGCAGCTGGTCAGGAAAGACTGAACTAGCATAGAAGCTCTCTGAAGGTGCTGACTGAGGCAACTAGGAAACATCCAGGAGCAAGCTAGCAATGCCCCTGTTTGTATGAGACATAGGCTGTAGGAGAGGGAGCCAAGCTCATGAATATATCCACAGAACAGTATGGAAGGACCTAGGGGACTCTCTTTGTCTAGTAAAGGGCCTGAGAAGTAGGAAGCCAGGGATATGAGCACAGTATCTACCCCTCTGCAACTTTTCAATTCTGAAAATTAAGTTTTCTATGAAAAAAGTGTGTGTGGGAGGGCACTAAGGATATGGCAAAATGAAATCCTGTTGTCACCTGCAGGTATGGAACTGAGAATTTCCAATACAGGGGCTGTGCCTTTGCCACTCTGAGAGCACATCCTTGTGGATGCCTGGTTAGTCATTGTGGCTTTGCCACCAGAGCCCACTGGGCTCCCCTCTCCTGCCTGTAATCTCTTGGTTCTAGAGACTAAGAACAGCAGAGATGTTCCCAGGTCCCAGGGGCTCTCAGTGGGTACAGAGATGAAGGACATGAAAAGGGAAGGGCTTGGGCCCCAGTAGGACACTGACCTCAGCATGCTGAGCCATGGTGCTGGCCTCCACTGCATAAATTTTCCTGGCTCCTGCTTGAGCAGCAAAAAATGACAGGATCCCAGAGCCACAGCCTACATCGAGAACAATCTGGAAAAATGATATGTGTATGAGGCTACAGATGTGCCAAACACCACACACTATGCCCATCACAAACAATATAAATAACAGCAGAACTAATATGTGTTCACAAAAGAATTGTTTTCAGGGTGCTGGAGAAATGGTTACCCTTCCAGAGGACCCGTGTTCAATTCTTGGCACCCACAATGCAGTTCACAACCACCTGTAACTCCAGTTCCAGATCTGTTACCCTCTTCTGGCTTTCATAGGCACTGCATGCACATGGTACAGATACACACAGACAGATGCTCATACACATATAATAAAACAAAACAAAAAGCAATCCCGCACAATGGCAAATGCCTATAATCCCAGAATGAGAAGGCTGAGGTAGGAGGACCATGAATTCAAGACTAGCCTAGACTATAACTCTATTCGAAGATTAAAACATGGCTGATCTGGAAAGAACAGAGAGACAAAAACCATAGAGGTGCCAAAGGAACTATCCTGGCACCAGAGACTCATTGTTCTTGCCCATCCATATGCTGAGAAGCTGAGACACAGAGCTAGCATAAGGCTTGATAGTCAGGTAGGTCCTCACTTTCAGGGGCTACCCCATATGGGACTGGGGTCAACATGGAGATAAAGCCAAGCTTCTGGGAAGATGTAACATGAAGGGGCCTGCTTGTTTGTGTTTTCTGTCCTGTCCGGTACCCCACAACCAGCAAGTCCCAAAGAAAATCAGAGTCTACATTAGGTTATAAACTGAACAGCAGTAAAAGTATGAAGAGTAGGGTTATGGTGGTGTGGGGGAGTATCCAGTCAGTGAGGCAGGGCCCCAGGAGGCTGAGATAGGAAGACTGAGCCTAAATGTAGCTTGGAAAACACAGCAGGCATTGTCTTCTAACAACCCCACCTCACCACCACCAAAGACACTTCAAAAGGGTTCCACCCTACCTACCCTGTGCTTGGAGGAGGAGTGCTAGCTAAAAAGGCCAAGAACATGTGGACAGATCTGCTGGATTTTCTCACCAAGCCAATTAGCACATCATCAGCATTAGTGCCAGAAAAAGCCTAGGTTCTGAATTCAGTTCGATGGGGCAGAGTGGGTAGCTAGAAGCTCCAGAAAGCAGTGAGGGCACTCCGCTAGTACTGTTCCCAGTGTCTTCATTGCACTGTTGGAATCTTTTGTGATAAGCGGGCAAGCATGCTTCCCTGAACTCTGTGAGCTGCTTGGGTAAACAGCTGTTGCGTCACCCCAACTCAGAGCCATCTGTCAGAAGACATGAGAAAGGCAGTTGTGGCTGGCTCTGACATTTAAAGCTGAGGGGTGGGGTTCTGTATCACTGGAGTCTTCAGCCTGTGGGCTCTGCCCTTAATCGAGGTAGATTAAACTAGAACTGAGATGGATGAGAGAAGGCTCAGCCGGGGTCCACTACTATTGCAGGGCTCAGCTGCTCCCCACAGAAGCCATCTGTGTGACTAGGAGAGGGGCGTGGTTTCGTTATTCTCAGCTTTTTTGTTCTCCTTCTTTTTCTTTTTTCTTAAATATTTATCTATTTATCTAGATATCTAGATATTTATTATGTATACAATATTCTGTGTGTGCCTAAAGTCCAGAAGAAGGTACCAGACCTCATTACAGATGGTTGTGAGCCACCATGTGGTTGCTGGTAATTGAACTCAGGACCTTTGGAAGAGCAGGCAATGCTCTTAACCGCTGAGCCATTTCTCCAGCCTTCTCCCTCCTTTTTTTGAGAAAGACACTCACCGTATAGCCCTGGATGATTTCCAATTTAGAACTATACCTGCCTCTACCTAGATCTAAAGTGCATGCTGCCATGCCCAGCTTACTTACTCTTATAACACACAAATCCAAAACATCAATTTCCGTATCTAAAGTTGTTTTATTTTTCTGCAGTGTTAGACCGGAAGTCAGTTTTCTTCATGCTAGGAAAGCACCCCAATCCTACAGTTGATGGCCCTCTTGGCAACATCTCCTGAGTCCTGGCATCCGCAGTCCATGTAAAACTACTATTCAGTATACTCCACCCAATACAGCTGAGTCAGAAAGCAGTATGACCAAAGGCATGCTAGAAGAGGCAGAAGTGATTGTTTTCTACAGGAAGTCAAAATATGAACATAATTTTAACTAAAAGAAAATGGAGGGTTGACTCAGAGTAACAATAGAAAAAAAAAAAGGCAACAGAACTGGAGGGAGGCAAGGGAGGCCCTGCCACAGTCTCTCAGGCACCCACAGCCTGGGTTCAGCAGGCTTTCTGTACTGACAGCTCACCTTGTCCTTGAAGTCGGTGTGGTTTTGCAGGATCGCACGCTGATAGGTACCTGTACGCACATAGTCCTGCATCATGTTCTGCTGCTGGGACAGGTAGCCATAAAACTGGAACAGAGACATACCAATAGCACATAGCACATGGCATAACAGACTGCCACAGCCCTGGCTGCCCTAAAATGGAAGGAGAGCCTGACAGCATAAACCTCCCTTGGGAGGTCATGTACCCTCCTCCAGCCTGAACCCAACTGATAAAAGCCAGCTGCTCCTTAAGTGGGAGCAGGGGTCTGAGGAGCAGTCCCCAAGAGGGACACTTCACTGTCGTCATGGCTGAAGGACACAGCTAGATGCCACCTGAACCCGGAAACCACCCAAGAGAACACAAAAGTTGTCATGGATGGGATTCTAACACCTGGAGGCCAACTGTTCTATCTTAGGGTCCCAAAGAAGAAGAGGAATGGTTGGAACAAAACCCTAGAGCTCAAAGCGCCAGGCAGGTGATGTACGGTGTCTCTCTGTAAGACAACAGGTGATCAGGAGGCAGTGTGGCACCTGGCAGGGCCACAGGCTTGGGCATCAGGCAGACCTGGCTTTCCCATTGTGGCTCTGTTGCATAAGAGCTGTGTGACTTGGAGCAAAATCACTTAACCTCTCTGAGCCTCAGTTTTCTCATCTGTAAAATGGGGACAATAACAGATGTTGGGAAAGTCTAAGTGCTTCTGGGCATGTAAGATGGCTTACACAATGTCTTACACTCAGCAAGGATTTAGGACATTGCTACCGTTCAGTACTACTCTAAACACCTGGGAACTTGGGCTTCACAGATGACGAAACTGAGGCCTACAACTGGTGAACACCCGCTGAGGCTACGCAGCTAGTTAGGGACAGAGCCAGGAAGAACACTCAAGTGGGTCTACCGGTGCTGTGTGACCCTCCTGTGGGAAGGTTGGGGAGGAAAAGTTATCTGGCCCAGGACAGGTGCTAACTCACCTGGAAGTACTGCACAGCTGAGGATTCCTCTGTTCGCTCACTGAACACAGAGCGCTCCAGTGTGTGGCCCCGGCAGGTTTTCAGTATGTTGTAGAAGGAACAGAAATCTGGAAAGGGGGAGCCAGATCACTGGGAGGCCAGTGCTAGGATCTCTGGAAGAGTCCAGAGGGTCTCGGCATTTATTGTTCCTTTCTGTCTTTCCTGTTTTTTCTACCTTAGACACATGGGAACTGGCGACTTCTTTTTCCAATAGAGAAGGAAGGCAGAGCAGCCAAGACTGCCACTCTGACTGACATGAGGGTATGACTGCAGGTGGCATGTGGTGAGGACATGCCTGGGCATTCCTCCAGACAACAGTCTGGAAGTGCAGGGAGCACACAGCAGCCACTAGGGATGGCACTGGACACAAGGACAGCACCTCAATGTTGAAGACAGCAGGTGAGCATGTGGAGAGGGTTTCAACGCCCTTCCCTGGACACAGTGCCATGAAGGTCTCTGAACTGAGCCCCACCACTAGCTGAGGAACTATAAACAACTGGTAGCTGCTGAGGGAGGAAGAGCTAGTTTTCTCTAAGGGCGCATGTATAATCCCTAGTAGGAAGACCACATTCTGGTGGATGGCCCCACCCATAGGTATATATATAGCACAAATTGGACTGGGTGGATTATACATATTAAAGAAAAAATTTAAAAAGGAGGCAGGATGGGGGATGGATCCAGAAGGATTAGGAGTGAATATGTAAAAATACATTGTATAAATGTGCAAAATTCTCAAAGAATAAAGGTACCTTAAGAAAAAATGTATCGAGAAACTTAGAAAAATGGGCACCAAGTTATAGATTAAAAAAAAATTGTGTTGTAGAACTGGCAATGAATAAAATCCTTGCTAGACACAGAGATCTGATCTCCAAAATATACAAAGAACTCAAGAAATTGGACACCAAAAATCATATAATCCAATTAAAAAAAAATGGAGTACAAACCTAATCAGAGAACTCTCAACAGAGGAATCTAAAATGGCTAAAAGACATTTAAGGAAATGGTCAACATCCTTAGTCATCAAAGAAATGCAAATCAAAACAACTCTGAGATTCCATCTTATACCTCTAAGAATGGCCAAAATCAAAAACACTGATGACAACTTATGCTTGAGAGGTTGTGGGGAAAAGGGAACACTTCTACATTGCTTCTACATGCAATTACTTCTAATTGCATGCATTCTACATTGCATTCCCAGGTGGGAATGCAAGCTGGATGTCAGTGTGGCAATTTCTCAGAAAATTAGGAAACAACCTTCCTCAAGACCCAGTAATACTACTTTTGGGTATATATCCAAAGGATGCTCAATCATGCCACAAGGACATGTGCTCAACTATGTTCATAGCAGCTTTGTTTGTCATAGTCAGAACTGGAAACAACCTAAATGCCCCTCGACCAAAGAATGGATAAGGAAAATGTGGTACATTTACATAATGGAGCACTACACAGCAGAAAAAAATAACAACAGCTTGAATTTTGCAGGCAAATGGATGGAGCTAGAAAACATTACTTTGAGTGAGGTAATCCAGACACAAAAAGACAATTATCACCTTTACTCACTCATAGGTGGTTTTTAAACATAAAGCAAAGAAACCCAGCCTACAAACCACAATCCCAGAGAATTTAGAAAACAATGCGGACACTAAGAGAGACTTACATAGATCTAATCTACATGGGAAGTATAAAGTAGAAAAAGATCTCCTGAGTATATTGGGAACATGGGGATCTAGGGGGAGGGCTAAAGGGGGGAGGGGAGAGGCAGGGAGGGGAGCAGAGAAAAATGTAGAGCTCAATAAAAAAAAAATCCTTGCTACACAAGTGTCAGGACTGAAGTCCAGATCTCTAATCCCAGTGCACAAGAGATAAGGATGGGATCCTCGGAGCACACTGGCTGGCCTGTCCAGCACAGCTGATGAGCTCTAGGTTCAAGTGAGAGGTCCTCTCTCCATAAATGAGGTGAAGAGCTTCTGGCCTCAGTACTTCTATGCGCATACATGCACACGCACCTTAACATATGTACTCCCATACACACAAACACATGCATTGACACACATCATATACACAGATACATGCAAATTAACTAATAACTAACTAACTAATTAAAGGTCAGCCAGGAAGCCATGTGGTGGTGACACACACCTTTAATCCCAGCACTCAAAAGGCGGGCAGGTCTCCATGAATTTGAGGCCAGTTTGAGTCTGGTCTATGGAGTTAGTTCCAAGATAGCCAAGGCTACAAAAAGAAATCCTGTCTTAAAAAATCAAAAACCAGAAGGAAGGAAGGAAGGAAGGAAGGAAGGAAGGAAGGAAGGAAGGAAGGAAGGAAGGAAGGAAGGAAGGAAGGAAGGGAAAGCAAGCAAGCTAAACAGTCAACAGCTAGGCAGGCAGTATAGGCAGGACTCTGGGAAGAAGGTGGAGTCGCCAGACAGATACAGAGGAAGCAGCATGGAGAGTACAGAAAGATGAGGTAACAAGCCACGTGACAGAATGTAGATTAAAATAAATGGGCTAATTTAATTTATAATTTAAATTATAAGAGCTAGTGAGACAAGCCTTAAGCTAAGGCCAAGCTTTCAAATTTAACAAGTCTCATGTGAGCTGGCAGCCCAAAGAAAAAAATCCGACTACAACTCCCTGAGACTGAACTAATCCCAGGTCACATTACCTTCAGGATTTGTTATTTAATTTACTTTTATATCTATGGGTGTTTTGCCTGCATATATGTCTGTAACACCCAAGGAGTCCCTGAGGGGTCTTTGGATACCCTGGGACTGGAATAACCAACAGTTCTGAGCTGCTATGTGGGCAATGGGAATTGAACTTGGGTCCTCAGCAAGAATTCTTAACCAGTGAGCCATCTCTCCAAACATCCCTCCCTAGCAATTTATTTTATGGGTATGGGTGTTTTGCCTGCATATATATATCTGCTCCACTTGCATGCCTCATTCACATAGAAACCAGTAAGGGGTTTCAGATCTCCTCAAACTGGAGTTGCCAACAGTTCTGAGCTGCTGTATGGGGAATAGAGTGAGTGCTCTTACCTTCTGAACCATCTCTCCTGCCCTTGGTTTTAGATTTAAAATCCTATATGGATGGTAATCCCTGGTGGTAGTATTTTCAACATATCTTTAGCTGGGTAGCACACCCCTTTAATCCCAGCACTTAGGAAGCAGATCTCTGAGTTTGAGACCAACCTAGTCTACACATGCACAGTAAGTCCCAGGACAGCCAAGGTTACACAGAGAAAACCTAGCTTAAAAAAAATTTTTTTTTACTTATTACTGTGTATGTTATGTGTATGGAAGCACAGGCCATGGCATAAATGTGGAAGCCAGAGGAGCTCTGTGGAGTTGGTTGCTAGGGATTGAACTCAGGACATCAGATGTGCAGCAGCTCTTCATTTCTAAACCGTCTCTCCAGTCTCTAACACTTCTTTAGTAATAAACTTGTGGATCAGCTGGCCTGTCGTGCTCAGCGGTGAACAATGAGAGATTTTATCTCAAACAAGGTAAAAGTTGATGACTTGACACATATGGAGTTCTTCCTGCTTCCACAAGTGTGCCAGCACAAGCACACCTACATTCACATTCACTCACACACACGCACGCACACATAAACATTAAACAAATTAATCACGAATCTGGATTGCAGCAGACCTTCTTCCACTAAGAATACATTCTAAACTGTTCCTGAAATGGCTGAAGTGCCCCTTCCATGAGCTATGTTGCATGGCATGTAAAACTATGAGTGTTTATTTAGCTCAGAGCACACGCATAAAAAAAAAACTGTGTCAACAAAAAGATTTTTTTTTTTTTAAACAGACTTGTAGCCCAGGCTGACCTTGAATTTCTGGTCCTCCTGCCTCCACCTTCTGAGTGCTGGAACTGCAGACGGGGCTAGGACTTCAAGCATGTCAGACAAGTTTAAAGAATTGTTTTCAATTTTTTGGGACAATGTCCATGTGGTCCAGGTTCCCTTTCAGACTTGCAACATGAGGCTAATCTTGCACTCCTGATACTTCTGCCTTACTTCCTACGTATTAGGATCACAAAGAAGGGAAGGAGAGGGGAGGGGAGGAGAGGGGAAAGGAAGAGGCCTGAGGATGCTTGTGCAAGTGACAAGGCAGCAGGACTTCACATGGCAACAGCTCTATTAGAGGCACAGATAACCTCCTGGGGAGACAGTGAAGGGCTCTGGGAAACCAGCAGCCCTGTCCCTGTACCAGCCAACAAACTCACCTAGGCATTCCACTGACCAAGTCCTGCCACAGGACATTCACAGGCCTGGCCATTGCTTTCAAAACCATGGGGCCCCAGTTACGCTCACCTGTGTTTCCACAAGCCATCCTCAACAACCTTAGGTGTCTGCCAGTTGGTAGTGGTGCACACCTTTAATCCCAGCACTCAGGAGGCAGAGGCAGATGGATCTTTGTGAGTTTGAGGCCAGTCTGGTCTACAAAAGCTAGTTCCAGTATAGACTCCAAAGCTACAGAGAAACTATCTCAAAAAACAAAAACATACAAACAAACAAATCATGTCTAATGACAGGCCTGCTAAGAGTCCTCAAGAGCTTCTTTAATCAGAGTGAAGTCTCTGTCCACCTCTAGGCTACATCTCACCCCTCCCCTGGGGTTCTAGTCACAGCTGAGGCAACTGGCCTCAGGCCTAACCCAACTAGCTCTCTAAGAGGCTTAGGTATGGCAAGAGAGTCAGGATGGCCCTTTTGGAGTAAAGGACAAAGAATTGAGACCCAGAGAATCCACAGCAGACAGTGAGGTGCCAGGGCAGGGCACCTGTTTAACATCAAGAATACATTCTTACTGAGGACGTGTCTCTTCATTCAACTAGGTTTTTCCTCCCTCTTTTTTAGGAGCAAGGATCTTGGTATTCTGGCTTTTCAGGCTGGTTTCAAACTCTTGTGCTCAAGTGATTCTCATGTTCTAGCCTTCTGGGAAGCTGAGACAATGAACTAGGCTACGACGGTAACTTATACTCATGTCTTTAAACAGAGATCCTTTATTATGCCTCGGCCTCCCCAGCAGCTGGGACTACAAGTGCTATAAAAACATTCAGCATATCCAAATGCACAGGATGTGGATGTGTGGTGGTGGTGCCTGTGCATGTGGAGGCAAGTGGTCAGCTTTGGGTGTCATTCCTAAGAATTGTCCACCTTGGGCTTTTTTTTCCCCCCAAGACAGGGTTTCTCTGTAGCTTTGGAGCCTGTCCTGAAACTAGCTTGGTAGAGCAGGCAGGCTTCGAACTCACAGAGATCCGCTTGCTTCTGTCTCCCAAGTGCTGGGATTAAAGGCGTGTGTCACCACCATCTGGCATTTCCACCTTTTTTAAGGCAGTCTCTCTATCCTGGAGCTCTGATGAAGCAAGGCTGGGCAGCCAGTATGAGCTGTAGAGATATGCCTGTCTCTATCTCTTCATCTCTTGCAATCTCAGATTACAAGCTCATACTACCAAGCCTAACTTTTCATGTGGAGCTAAGGACTGAGCTCAGATCATCATGCTTGTGTGGCAAATGCTATTAACTGATCACCTCTCCATCTCCCAGGCTCCAGAATAGAGCCAAACACATACCATGGGGTGTGGCGAACTGGATGAGGACGCTGTTGCAGCCCAGTGTGATGATGAAGGACTGCCTGCCCACACGGCTGCATTCTGTCTCTCGGGACACTGAGCACTTGAACACACACACATCTTCATCTGCAAGAGAGAGGGGGACACTGGCATGAGCAACAGTGGCCTAGTGATTGCCTTGCTTTAATGTGTCCCTGATCCCCAATTCTTTTAGGGTGCTTTGTAAATACTTTGAAGTGCTGTGGTGTGCTTTGCCTGCCCATGTCTCAGTGAAGAAGAGGTAAGTAATGACTATACTGCAGGGACACTGCCAGGGTCCTCAGGAGCTCAGTGTCTCATAGGTGAAGACAAGCATGTTCTCAGGTGAAGGCCTGGGCCCCCAGAGAACTCCTGTCCCCATATAAACCAACAGGTGGGGAGAGCATAGGCAGAGTCATCCTTAAGGAGGGGTAGAGACATCCTTAGGAAAACACAGACAACTAAAGGCTAATGAAGGAGTTGGGGCTTTGGAATCTTGATCCTGCCAAAGGGACATTTGTTCGGGTCCTTCTGAGTTACAAAAGGTCACTGGACTTTATAGCTGTCAAATGGAAATAACCAAGAACCCTTCGTTCTGAGGGACAGTGACTGTGTCCTTAGTCATGGGAGCCATGCAACCTAGACTTCTGTGCCCCCTACAGCTCCTCAGTAGAATACAGCAAGCCATGGTGTTTCTTATGTTTCATATGGGGCTGGTTGTGGGGCAGAGATCCAGGGAGCTATTGTGTATGCTCACTTACATGGCCAAGCAGCCAGGAAGCACTACATGCCCATCACAACCATGTTTTCTAGTTATTTATTCAACAAGAGCCCAGTACACTGAAGGATGAAGCCAGTGGACAGACTGATTCAGCACTGTTGTTATCCCACGGCACCTGTGTAGTACTACTCCTGTTTTAAGCTTTTTAAATTTTATTATTGATATGTATTGTATACATATGTGTTTGTGTACATACATCTGTGCATGATGGTAAGCATGAAGTCAGAAGTTGGTTCTTCCACCATAGATCCTGGGACTCAAACTCAGTTGTTAGGCTTGTGCAATAGCATCTTCCTCCACTGAGCCATCTCCAGGGCCCCCATGAAGCACTTTTAACCTTAACTCATAAGGAGACAGCAGACACCAGAAGATACAGAAAATGGACCACTCTGTCTCCTCAAATGGGCAACACCAGGTGAGAAAAACCACTGAGAACTATTTTAGAGTGAAGGAGATACAAGAGAGACAGCCAGTAAGTACCCAGTAGACCCAGGCCTGGATCCATTACACCAGATGAATAGTGTGAAATGAGACACTGGCTCTATGGGCTTCCAAGAAGCGCCCCCCCCCAATAGGGTCTCAAGTAGCCCAGGCTAACCTGAAACTCTATGCAGTTTGAACTCCCACTTTCACTGTACCAAGAGCTGGGGGGTTACAGGTGTGCACAGTGTGCCTGGTTTATGGGGTGCTGGAGTAGAACCAGGGCTCTGTGTGTGAGTGGTCTACCAACCGAGCTAAAGCCACAGCCCCAGACACCCTTGTTCCTAGAACACAAATGCAGCAGTGAGTGAGCTCACTGGACCAATGCTCTCATGTGGCTTGCCAACTAAGTAGCAAAACAAAAAACACACTGGTGGAAATGCAGCTGAAGACATGTTTCCAAGCACCATGTAGCCAAAATCAGGTAAAAAGAACAATTAAGTAGACAGAGTCTCCAATTCAAGAGTCACACAAAGCTTCAGTAATCAAAATATAGTCTTCAAAAAGTACAAGATAGCAGAACAGAAACATATCACAGAAACAAATCCTGCCATTAATGGTCAAGTGACTTCCCACAAGGGTGCCAATGGAGAAATAAGCATCTCTAATAAAGGAACACTAGAACATCTGGACATTCACTTGGAAATCCATGCAACTAGATCCTGACCTCACACTACAACAAGAGCTAACTCAAATGAATCTGGTCTACACAAGAGTTCAAACTAGAAGACTCCTGGGTTAGTGAGAGTCTTGTGACTCAGTGGGTAATGACACTTGCTTCCAAAAATTTTTCTCTGATAATCACATGTGTGCACACACACAAATGTAATTTAAAAACCTACAGGATGGGGCTGGAGAGATGGCTTAGTGGTTAAGAGCACTGGGGGCTCTTCCAGAGGTCCTAAGTTCAATTCTCAAGTCACATGGTGGTTCATAATCATCTAAAGTGGGGTATAATGCCAACAGAGCACTCACACCTAAAAAACAAAAAGTAAAAACCTATAGGGCTCTTAGAAGGAAACACAGGGATAAATCTGTGACTATGATTTGGCAACAGATTCCTAGCTATGAAACTAAGTATGAGAACTATAAATTGTAATTTGTATTTTATTTTATGTGCACTGGTGTTTTTTCATGGATGTCAGGTCCCCAGGAACTGGATTGCAGACACTTGTTAGCTACCATGTGGGTGCTGGGAATTGAACTCAGGCACTGTGGAAGAGCAGTCAGCTGAACCATCTCTCCAGTCATAAATTTTAATTAAAAAAAATTAATTCCAGGCCACCCTGAGCTACACATTGAAATCCTGATCTTAAGAAAAAAGAAGAAGGGGGGGGGGCAGACAGGGCCTTGTACTTTCAAGGTAAGTGCTCTATCGCAGCAATAAATATAATACAACAAAACAAAAATGAAAATAAACAACTCCAGCAACTGTCTATGAGAGGTCACTTCTTATAGTGTCTACAAAACATCTACAATTTAAACAATGAAGCAAGTAAATGGAGAGATGTGGAAGAGCAAACATCTCAAGTGGTGATGTAGCCAGGTGAGTACACTGACCACCTGACACAGCAACTCTGTTCCCAGCTATAGCAGGCAGGGCTTCAAACAAATGCTTGTTTGCAAATAGTCAGGTATGGGGGCTACAACAGTTGTAGTCAGTCAGGAGGCCAAGGCCAAGATGCTTGCTGAATCTTAGCCCAGGAGTTCAAGGGCCAACCTTGATAGCAGAGCAAGATATCAAAGAAAGTAAAGAACATGCTGGGGCCGGAGCTTAGTTGTCCGAATGCTTGTCTGGAATGAAGGAAGCCCTAGACTCCATCCCTAGCACAGCATAAACTATATAAAGCAGTAAGAGTGCTGCAGAGCAGTTAAAAAAGCTTTCAGGAGGTGGAGGCAGGAAGATCAGAAGTTAGAAGAAAGAGGAAGACAAACAGAAACAGAAGACTGTTTATTTCCAATAGTCAAAACTAGACACAATTCAAATTCCATCAGATGATCAATGGATAAACAGAATCAGATAATGGTGTTATTTAAGTATAGAGAGAAACAACATCAAGAACAGCTACAGCCTGGAACGCTACCAGAAATGCTGTCAGAAGAAAGGGGCAGCCACAAATGCTGTGCAATAAATACTGTATTCGATGGAACTGCAGAAAGGGTAAACTGAGGTGGCTGGGACAGACTCAGATGCCAGGGGTTCCAAGAAGGCAGAGGAAGAGCAAGAGCTTCCTGGTGTAGGTTTCCTTTGAGGTGATGATAGGGTTTTGGAAATAGCTAAAGGTCACAGTTATATAACACCAAATAAACTCAATGCCACTGAGCTGTTCTTTAAAATGGTTCGTGTTAGTTTACAAGACTGTCATTTCAATAGAGAAAGAAAATTGATCCCTACCTTGACAGCAGTGTGCAAGGGGGGGACTTCAGTGCTCACAGGACCCTGGCTCTTCTGTTGCTCTGTTTAGCCCAGAGCAGGGCCTCACTTAGGGCAAGTGTGTTGGTTATCCACCGCCCCAGAAATAGGGACCCAAGGCTAAGTGCTTCTAGTTCCAGCTCCAAGAGGGCTCCAGGAAGACTCTGGCTTGGTGCCTGGGACTACACTCCTCCTGGGTCAGAAGATAAAGGTGATCTTTGGGCTGGGTCTGTATGATGATAAGACCCCAGAGTGCTTGTTTACCCGGTTGCCCTAGGTGCTCCTCTAGAACCTGGCACCAAGCAGGTCACCAAAACACCTGTGGTGGGTGACAACAAGGACAGGGCTAGGGCCAGGACTACCAGGGCTGAAGAATCTGATAGCACAGATGAAGGAGTCAGTATTCTCTGAGTATCACAACCAGCCCCTCTGGCCTATTCTCTGAACACAGGAGACACAGGAACCTTTCTGATATACCCATGCAAACTAACAAACCAGCTGCACCATAGTCCCCCTTTTTAGGAGGCCTGGAATACAAGCTTGGCTCTAAAGAATTTGCATGACACATGCAAAATTCTAGGTTCTATCTCTACAAAAATAAACCAAAAGCAAACCTCTCCTTTGGCAGAGGTCACATTCATGCCTAGAACCCCAGCTGGCCAAGTTCATCAGTATCAAGGGAAAACATAGAATGACAAAGCATGACACTCAATGTCCTCCTCTGACCTCCATGCAAGTATGTGTGTATGTATGCACAGTAAAAGTAACATGTGCACATACAACACACACATGCACACATATTCATATACACACAGGGAGGGTTAAGCTAGATATGTTAGTTCACATCGGTCAAGCGCAGGCCACTGTTATGATTTCTTTCTCCAGAGTCCCTAAGAGATAACCAGAATGGTAGGTTAACTGGTAAGAACAGTACCTGTCTGGGTGTATTCTCAAATGAGTCTCAAATAGAGCACAAAGAATAGGCCCTAAACTGAGGGGTTTGAACAGTGTTGAGGACCCTAGTCCTGGCCATCAGAGTCTGATCATTTCAAGTTCTGTGGCCAAGGAGGGTGACAGGAGACAGCTGCACAGGGCAAGTGGGACACAGATTCCCTCCGTGATAGGAAGACCTTCAAGACAGCCCATGTTGCTCCCTACAAAAAAATAAAAAAAAAAAAAGGCTCTCATCTATCCACATCATAAACCCCTAATTTCTGCCACGAGATAGTCACCTAACACACTTTACAAATGCCCCTCGTTTCCTCAAAACATCACCAACTTGCTCAGAGGGTAAGGATCTTATTTATTTAAGGTCACACAGTCAGATGGATTCTGGTGACTGTCTTCAGAGTTACTGCTCCTGACCAAGGTTGCAAGGACTTGACAGCATCCTGAAGTGGCCACATTTCTCTAAAAAAGAGCCATCATCTATTACAACTCCGACATCTATTGTAGGAGTGTAACTCAGTGGTAAAACTCTTGCTGAGCATTTGTTCAGCCCTGGGCCTCATCCCCAGCACTGCTATTAAAGAAAGAAAGAAATTTTTCTGTAAGGACAATCTGTGTCACAATGACTCAATTCTGCCTGCAGCAGACTTCAACAAGTAAACAAATAACTACAGCTGTGTCAATACAACTTTATTGACAAAACCAGGCAGAGGGCCAGGTTTACTTCACTGGAGTATTATGTCTAGAATTAAGGGTAGTGTTAAGAACTCTTTCTACTCACTTCCTCATTTGCTTACCAGACACAGATAATGAGGACATCCACTTCCCATTAGAGACTTGAGGGATCTCTGGCACTCAGCTATGCAAGCCCGGAGATGCACCAAAGCCAATATGGCTGGGAGACTAGGAAAAACCTCTCAGTGAGTGCAGGGAACCTGTAGAGCAGTGGTTCTCAACCTTCCTAATGATTCGACCCCATACAGTTCTTCATGTTGTGGTGACCCCAACCATAGAATTATTCCATTGCTACTTAAATGCACTTTGCTACTGTTATGAATCATAATATAAAAATTTTTGGAGGCAAAAGTTTGCCAAAAGGAATTTCAAGCCACTGGTTGAGAACTACTGCTGTAGAAGAAGGAGGGTTACCAAGTTGAGGGGCAGCATGAGGCCTAGGCAGACATACAGCTCCCAGAACCTAGAGGTTTCCACAGCCATGGGCAGCACCAGGAAGATTTTTAAGCTAGGAGACATGAAAGGGAACTGAGTCAAGGTGGAAGGGCTGGGGATGCAAGCTACCCTGTTCCCCACCTGTCAGAGAACTCCTCTAACACCTGCCCTAGACCTGCTATCTCCCCGGGACAGAAGAATCTTCCTGAGGCTCAGGAGCCCCTGACCAGTTTCAGGGAATACACAAAG